CATCGGAGTGAGTCCCCGAGTGGCACATCCGGCAAAAATCCCGCAGGAATGGGCGAGCAACCAACTTTGCCACAAAGAGTTTTCCCAATTTTCCCAGATTTTTCCAAATTTCTCCCAATGTTCCAAATTTTCCCCCAATTTTCCCACTGGATTTTTCCAATTTTCCCTGCCAGATTTTCACCATTTTCCCCACCAGATTTTCCTGATTTTCCCCAACTTTCCCTGCTGTATTTTCCCGATTTTTCCCAATTTTCCCCAGTTTTTCCCTGCTGGATTTTCCCTATTTTCCCTGCTGTATTTTCCCTATTTTCCCTGCTGGATTTCCCTCATTTTCCCCAATTTTTCCCTGCTGTATTTCCCTAGACTTCCTCGCCAGATTTTCCTGAATTTTCCCTGGTTCTTCCCCGCCGGATTTCCCCACTTTTTCCCAATTTTCCCTGGTTTTTCCCCGCCGTATTTCCCCAGTTTTCCCTGCTGGATTTCCCCGATTTTTCCCAATTTTCCCCGGTTTTTCCCTGCCGGATCTCCCCGTTTTCCTGCCGGATCTCCCCGTTATCCGCCGGATCTCCCCGTTTTCCCGCCGGATCTCCCTGTTTCCCCGCCAGATCTCCCCGTTTTCCCGCTGGATCTCCCCGTTTTCCCACCGGATCTCCCCGTTTCCCCGCCGTATTTCCCCGTTTTCCTGCCGGATCTCCCCGTTTTCCCGCCGGATCTCCCCGTTTTCCCCGCCGGATTTCCCAGTTTCCCCCGCCGGATTTCCCAGTTTTCCCTACCGCATTTCCCCGATTTTTCCCAATTTTCCCTGGTTTTTCCCCGCCGGATTTCTCAGTTTTCCCCGCCGGATTTCCCCGTTTTCCCGCCGTATTTCCCCGTTTTCCTGCCGGATCTCCCCGTTTCGCCGCCGGATTTCCCCGTTTCCCCGCCGGATTTCCCCGTTTCCCCGCCGGATTTCCCCGTTTTCCCCGCCGGATCTCCCCGTTTCCCTGCCGGATTTCCCCGTTTTCCCGCCGTATTTCCCCGTTTCCCCGCCGGATCTCCCCGTTTTCCCGCCGGATCTCCCCGTTTCCCCGCCGGATCTCCCCGTTTTCCCGCCGGATCTCCCCGTTTTCCCGCCGGATCTCCCCGTTTTCCTGCCGGATTTCCCCGTTTTCCTGCCGGATCTCCCCGTTTCCCCGCCGGATCTCCCCGTTTCCCCGCCGGATCTCCCCGTTTCCCCGCCGTATTTCCCCGTTTCCCCGCCGTATTTCCCCGTTTCCCCGCCGTATTTCCCCGTTTTCCCGCCGGATCTCCCCGTTTTCCCGCCGGATCTCCCCGTTTTCCCGCCGGATCTCCCCGTTTCCCCCTTTCCCAGCACACCTTGCACTGCTCGGCCTCGGTGCGCAGCACCTCGGTGGAGGCCGAGCCCTCCCTGAGGAAGAGCCCCAGCGTGTCCTTCTCCAGGCACATGTCCCGGATGGCGCGCGCCGTCTTGCCGGTCTCCTTCCGCGAGTGCACGAACACCAGCACCTGCCAAACCGGGATCGGCCCGGGATCAGCCCGGGAGAACCGCGATCGGACCGGGAGAACCGGGATCGGCCCGGGAGAACCGGGATCAGCCCGGGAGAACCGGGATTGGCACGGGAAAAACTGGGATCAGCCCGGGAGAACCGGGATTGGCACGGGAAAAACTGGGATCAGCCCGGGAGAACCGGGATCGGCCCGGGATCGGCCCGGGAAAAACCGGGATCGGCCTGGGAAAAACCGGGATCAGCCCGGGAGAACCGGGATTGGCACGGGAAAAACTGGGATCAGCCCGGGAGAACCGGGATCGGCCCGGGAAAAACCGGGATTGGCCCGGGAGAACCGGGATCGGCCCGGGATCGGCACAGGAAAAACCGGGATCGGCCCGGGAGAACCGGGATCGGCCCGGGATCGGCACGGGAAAAACCGGGATCGGCCCGCGATTGGCCCAGGAAAAACCGGCATCAGCCCGGGAGAACCGGGATCGGCCCGGGATCGGCACAGGAAAAACCGGGATCGGCCCAGGAGAACCGGGATCGGCCAGGGATCAGCCTGGGAAAACTGGGATCAGCCCGGGATCAGCCTGGGATTGGCATGGGATTGGCATGGGAAAAACCAGGATCAGCCCGGGACAAACTGGGATCAGCCTGGGATTGGCATGGGAAAAACCGGGATCAGCCCGGGAAAAACCGGGATCAGCCCGGGACAAACTGGGATCAGCCCGGGATCGGCCCAGGATGAGCCTGGGAAAACTGGGATCAGACCGAGATCGGCCCGGGATCAGCCTGGGATCGGCCTGGGAAAACTGGGATCGGCCCGGGATCAGCCTGGGATTGGCATGGGAAAAACCGGGATCAGTCAGGGGAAAAAAACGGGTTCAGCCTGGGATCAGTCCAGGATTGGCTTGGGATTGGCCTGGGATCTGCCTGGGAAAAACCAGGATCAGCCTGGGAAAATTCAGGATCAGCCTGGGATCAGTCTGGGAAAAACCAGGATCAGCCTGGAATCAGCTTGGGATAAACTCAGGATCAGCCTGGGATTGGCATGGGAAAAACCAGGATCAGCCTGGGAAAAACTGGGAGCAGCTTGGGAAAAGCCAGGATCAGCCTGGCATTAGCCAGGCAAAACTGGGATCAGCCCGGGATAACTGGCATCAGTCTGGGAAAAGAGCTGGGATCAGTCTGGGAAAAACTGGGATCAGCCTGGGAAAAACTGGGATCAGGCCGGGATCAGCTGGAGAAAAACTGGGATCAGTGCAGGAGCAGCCCAGGATCAGAGCTGGGATAAAGGGGGAAAAATGGGGGAAAAATTGGGAAAAAATGGGAAAACAACAGGAAAAAAATTGGGAAAACAATAGGAACAAAAAGGGAAAAAAATGGGGAAAAATTGGGAAAATCCCATTTTTCCATGGGATCAAGGGGAACGTTGGCACGGGTGGGACCTCGTTCTTGCCGGAAAAGGGGAAAAAATGGGGAAATGTGGGAAACAAATGGAAAAAATGGGGGGAAAATGGGAAAAAATGGAGGGAAATGGGGAAATTGGGGGAAAAAACGGGGAAAATCCCATTTTTCCATGGGATCAAGGGGAACGTTGGCACGGGTGGGACCTGGTTCTTGCCGGCGTGCTCCATGATCTTCTCGTAGACGATCTCGTTCATGATCTGGAAGCGCTTGATGGCCTTCTTCTCCGTGATGCCCACGTAGGTCTGCTCCAGCGGCACCGGCCGGAAGCTGCCACGGGAAAGCCGGGAATTTGGGGGAAAAATCCGAGAATTTGGGGAAAAAAATATGGGCAAAAGGGGGGAAAAAGACGGGGATTTGTGGGGAAAAAATCAGAGGGAAAAGGGGGAAAAATCTGGGGATTTGTGGGAAAAAATCCATGGAAAAGTGGGAAAAAAATCTGGGGAAAAGGGGGAAAAAATCTGTGGATTTATGGAAAAAAATCCAGGGGATTGATGGGAAAAAATCCATGGAAAAGGGGGAAAAAATAAACTCAACCCAACCTGAGATCCCAAAAACACTTTTAACGACGCCCTCAAAGACCAAGGGATGGATGGATGGAAATCCAGGTTGGAATCCATCAGGAAAAGATGGAAAACTCCACTTGGGTCTTCTCAAAGTCCATGGAGAACCCAACCCAACGAGATATCCCAAAAACACTTTTAACGCCGCCGCCAAAAAACCAACGAGGAATTCCACCTGGAATTCCACCTGGAATTCCACCTGGAATTGCACCTGGAGAAGCTCCTCCTGGGTTTGCCGTACCTGTTGTCGAAGTAGAACAAGCCCTTGGCCGGGTCCACCCGCAGGAAGGTGGCCACGTCCTCGTAGTTGGGCAGGGTGGCGCTGAGCCCCACCAGCCGCACGTCCTCCTGCGTCATCTCGATGTTGCGGATGGCCCTGGCCACCAGAGACTCCAGCACGGGCCCGCGGTCGTCGTGGAGGAGATGGATCTCATCCTGCCAGAAGGGGAAAGGTCACGGGATTGTCCTCCCTGATCGGCATTTGTGGCATTACAAAGTTCAGCTGGTTCCACCACCGGTGTCACGCCTGGACAGGTCCAAGAGCCTCCAGCCCCAAAGCCCAGATCTACCTTGAGGAACACCTTGAGGAGCCCCGAACCCCAGATCCACCTGGAGGAACACCTTGAAGAACCTCCTGAGCTCCTCCAGCCCCAAACCCCAGATCCACCTTGAGGTCCTCCATCCCCAAGCCCCAGACTCACCTTGAGGTTCTCCACCTCCAAACTGCAGATCCACCTTGAGGAACCTCCTGAGCTTCTCCATCCCCAAGCCCCAGACCCACCTTGAGGTTCTCCACCTCAAAGCCCAGTTCCACCTTGAGGAACACCTGGAGGAGCCCCAAGCCCCAGCTCCCCCTGGAGGAGCTCCACCCGGCCGTTGAGGAGCTCACCAGGATGACCAGCCGCACCAGCTGGGTGTAGGTGCGCTCGCCGCCCTTGCGCGTGATGATGTCCCACTTCTCGGGCGTGCAGACGATGATCTGCGTGGCGCTGATCTCCTCCTTGCACAGCTGGTGGTCCCCGGTCAGCTCGGCCACCGTGATCCCGTAGGTGGCCAAACGCTGGGAAAAACCCACGGGATGAGGGTGGA